AAAGCCTAGGTCGACTCTGAGTCGAACCTCTTCAAAGTCCCCTCGGAAAACAACGAGAATCGAACATCCAGCAGAAGTAATAGGTTAGATAGGGTAGCAAAACCCCAAATAACCCAATATTAGGTCAGGGATCGAGGGGATTTGGGAGGTTTAGGGGTGACGGCGTATCTAGGGTTTAGGTGGTCTCAAAGAGAAGAGAGAAGATGAGGGATTCAAGGGCGGCAGGGTGTAACAAATGACTAAGTTTAGGGGCTCGTTTGGCTTAAAAAAGGAAAGGGTGATCGTGGACCGTTGATCTCAGAGATCAACGGCCACGATTAGAAGGGATGTGGGTCGGGAAGAGGTCGTTTGGTTTTGGGTTGGGGTGATTTGGGCTTAGATTAATTTAAATTGGGCCGGGAGGATCCGATTTTGGATACAATTAAGGGGCTATTTGTTATACCCAATTTATTAATAAAATAATTTTAAAAATAGCTAATTTAAATGATAAAAATGATTTTTATGCATGAAGGTGATTTAAAATAATTACTTAATATTACAGAAATATAAAAAGTTAATTTCTGTATAGGTAACATAATTATGCATATGGATGGGCTATTATTGCAAAATGTGCAATTATAGTCTTAAAATACAACTATAATTGTAGAAAATGCAATTAAAAATATTTGAACACTCATATGAGTATAAATGATGAATTTAAATGACTAAATCATTGTAAAGTAATACGAGGGATAATTATTGAGTATTTATATAATTAGAAATGCAGAAATAAATTGATGTAAGGCCTTTAAAAATTATTGAAAAAATTGTAAAAATACTTTTGCATGTTTGTAAATGCATGTACAATATTTTAAAAGTATGTATGCATGTTTAAAAATATATGAGGGAAAAATTGGGTATCAACACCAAGCGAGAATAGGCTGTTGGGTACTGACTTGGTTCAGGATGCTTTGGACAAGGTTAAATTGATTCAGGAGCGGCTTTGCACGGCGTAGTCAAGACAAAAGAGTTATGCTGAGAGGAAGGTTCATGATGTGTCTTACATGGTTGGGGAGAAGGTTCTGCTGAAGGTTTCACCGATAAAGGGTGTTATGAGATTCGGGAAGAAGGGAAAGTTGAGCCCTCAGTTCATTGGACCTTTTGAGGTACTTCAGAGGATTGGGGAGGTGGCTTACAAGCTTGCCTTGCCACCCAGCTTGTCGAGTGTGCATCCAGTATTCCATGTTTCTATGCTCCGGAAAAAAATCGGCGATCCGTCCCATGTATTGGATTTCAGCACGGTTCAATTGGATAGTGATTTGACTTATGATGTAGAGCCGGTGGCTATTTTGGGGCGGTAGGTTCGAAAGTTGAGGTCAAAGGATATAGCTTCAGTGAAAGTGTAGTGGAGAGGTTAGCCCGTGGAGGAGGCTACTTGGGAGACCGAGCAGGAGATGCGGAGCAAATATCCACACCTATTTATGGCTCCAGGTATGTTTCTAGGCCTGTTCAAGGACAAAGGTTTGTTTAAGACGGGGAGGATGTAATGACCGGGCCGGTCGTTTCATGAGTTGTAGCTCATTCCCCCGTCTTCTGCTTCTTTTGTGTTCTACAACTGTATTTTGACTTACCGGGTTAGTTGGTTCGGGTCCATTTTTCATATTTTGAGCTAGAGATCACAGATTTGGGTGATTTTTGAAGGGACTTTCGCGGAGTTGATTGGGATAAGTGTTTCTTGCTTAGTTTTGGTTAAATCGCATGATTATATCTTTGATTTTATCATCTAATTTGTGATTTGGGGTGAAAAATTGGGGAAGAAGATGAAGTATTCTTGAGTTACAATTTTGGGGTTTTGAATGGGATTTCGTTATCGGATTGGAGTAAATTTTGTATGGTTAGACTCGTGAGTGAATGGGCTTTCGGGTTTTGTGTGACTTTTGTCCGATTTCAAGACATGGTGCCAAGTTTGAGCCGATTTCGGATTTTTGGCTATAATTTGATATTTTTCTTGTGGAATTGATTCCTTTAGCCTATATTGATCATATTGTATTGCTTGTGGCTAGATTCGGGGCGTTTTGAGGCCGATTTGAGAGGCAAAGGCATTGCAGAGTAGGATTTTTGCTCGGTTTGAGGTAAGTAACGCTTTCAAACTTGGTACTGAGGGTTCGAAACCCCAAACTATGTGTTATGTGACTGGTATTGAGGTGACGCACATGCCAAAGTGACGGGCGTGCGAGCATGCACCGTGAGAATTGTGACCTGGGTGATTCCATGGCACCGTTTAGTGACTCTATCCTGTTGATATCCATGTTTTCATCATGTGATAAAGCAATTGAGCTATAAATCATGCTAGATATCATCTTTAGGCTTTATGTCAGTATTGTTGGGACACTTAATGGTCGTTTCTTACTGTCATCTCACTATTTTCATTGATATTCTGTGCTCAGTCATGTTCATGTATTTTTATATCATATCTCAGTCTAAGTTATTTATTTATTCATCATATCATTGTTCCGGGTTTGTTTCATGACATTATGAGCCCATGGGTGAGACTTGAGAGATTGAGGCTGAGAGCCTAATTATGAGTGAGAGTTATGGGATCGGGCTGCACGCCGCAGTGGTTATATTGATGATTATGATAGCGCATGGGCTGTAGGAGCCCCTCCAGAGTCTGTAACACACCCCAGTGAGCACGGATGATACTATTGAGGGATGGATTTCCCTAGACATGGATTTGTCCGAGTAGTTAATACCTGGAGATAGATTTCTCCACAGGGTTGGATTGCCCTTTTTCCTCGGTACTGGTGACTTATAGTCAGTGTTGTTTATGCTCCGGGATGGATTTCCCTAGGCCGGATGACATATACTGTACCGAGTGGTTGAGCACTCGAGAGTGGGAGCACATGGTACAGTTCATACAGCATGTGCAATGGCATGTAGAGGTAGTTGAGTTATATACCTTACACTGTTCAGATCTTCATTTACCTTATTATTCTGAGTTGTCTATTTAACTTGAAAGCACGCATACGTTTCTGCACATTTAGTTCCATTATATCTGTTGCGGTTGAGTTCGTCACTACCTTTCAGTCCAAAGTTTGGACTTGTTACTTACTGAGTTGGTGTACTCACGTTACTCCCTGCACCTCGTGTGCAGATCCAGGCGATACCTTGACTCTCCTTCTTTATCATTTGTCGTATTTCATTTTATTCCTCTAGACACTGTAGTGGACTGTATTCTGGTTTAGACGTTATATTGTAATTTGGGATATATATTTTTTCAAACAGTTTTCTTTAAATGTCAAATACTTCCGTTTATATTTTCAAACTTATTGTTGCTGTGATGGGTTGTCATGTTGAGGCTGGCCTAGTTCCACGATAGGCGCCATCATGACGGTAGATTTTGGGTCGTGACAGTATGTGTCTGTGAGCTTGTTTTAAAGTGGTTTATGGTGTTTTATAGTGTAAGTTGTTGTGGCACTTTAATTTTTTTTACTGCTGCTTAGGGTTTCATCATCTTCTTAATTGCAAAATGGATTTGTTAGATTTATTGTTGTTTTGACAAATTAATGATTGGGGTTTGTTCTTGATGACATTTGGAGGTTATGTTTCAAATTAAAGCTCAGTTGGAGTAGATTTAGGTATTAAATAGTGTATTGGATTGTTTAAATTCGAAGAACAAGCTGTTGTGATGGGTTGTCATGTTGAGGCTGGCCTAGTTCCACGATAGGTGCCATTACGACGGTAGATTTTGGGTCATGACAATATGTGTCTGTGAGCATGTTTTAAAGTGGTTTATGGTGTTTTATAGTGTGAGCTGTTGTGGCACTTTATTTTTTTTTACTACTTCTTAGGGTTTCATCATCTTCTTAATTGCAAAATGGGTTTGTTAGATTTACTGTTGTTTTGAGAAATTGATGATTGGAGTTTGTTCTTGATGATATTTGGAGGTTATGTTTCAAATTTGGGCTCATTTGGAGTAGATTTAGGTATTAAATAGTGTATTGGATTGCTTAAATTCGAAGAACAAGTTTCTGTTTCTCGGCAATTTGCACTTCAGACCTATTTGGCTTTAAGTGCATGAAAATATTGGTTGCACTTCAGACCTATTTGGCCTTAAGTGCATGAAAATATTGATTGCACTTCAGACCTATTTGGCCTTAAGTGCATGAAAATATTGATTGCACTTCAGACCTATTTGGCCTTAAGTGCATCTAAAGTGTAATTTTTTCACTTCAGACCTATTTGACCTTAAGTGCATCTGAAGTGTAATTTTTTCACTTCAGACCTATTTGACCTTAAGTGCATCTGAAGTGCAATTTTTTCACTTCAAATCTATTTGGCCTTAAGTGCCTTAAAAGATTTGTTACACTTCCAACCTATTTGGCTTTAAGTGCATCTTAAGTGCTTTTTTGCACTTTAGACTTAATTGGCTTTAAGTGCATCTTAATTGGCTTTAAGCGTATTGTACTTCAGACTAATTCTTTTTTACAACTTCAGACCCGATAAGTTTGAAATTGATCCTAAAATGGGTATGCTTGTAAATTTTGAACAAAGTAGATATAACTCCAATTGTAACTCCAAAACTGAGTATGGATGCAAATGCCCAGTAGTCGGTAAATTCCGGGTAGATTGGTGGAGTAATTTTTATTGATGGGCAATGTTGAACGATTTCATCAACTGATAGTGCAAAATATATTTACAAATATCAGATTAATACGAATTAACTGTTTAAAAATAAGAAGAGAATGGTAACAACGTGTAAATATGTGGTTTAAGTTGTTGGATTTGGTCAAATAACACTGAGCAGCGTAAATTCTTTGACGCCAATAATTGGATAAAACTTAAAGTCTAAGCTTATAATTGATCGGGTCAAATTGGATTGGTTGAGCTATAGTTTATTCTTCAATTTTTTTCGATCTCACTCATTTATTGAGTCACAACTCGAACATAATTCAATATTCGATTAATTAATTTGCTCGTTTGACACTATTAGTGTGTCCTAAAAATATTGAAGCAGATACTTACAGTTTGCATCTTTATTATATATTCCCTTGAATCATAAAATTTCATCGTACAATGGTCGTACAACGTATATTTTCCCATTCAGTTTTCGTCCAATTTGGTAGTTCCACAAAACTCATAGGCCAAATGAAAATCCCCAGAAACAGATGAAAAAAGAGAATAAGAAGCTCAACTTATGGAAGGACAGCTACAAGATTTTTCCTTTTGCTCTTCTGATTAAAAGAAAACGAAAATTGAAGATACAAAAAAAATTAATATTGTGGGTAAAGGTTTAAAAAAAAAAAAAAAAAGAGGAAAATTTATAGTAAGATCAGAGCTGCACAATGAAGAAGGGCCAAGTGTCAAGAACGTGAAATAATACGCGAATAGAGGAATTCATTCCAAGTGTCAGGCAATCCAGGAAGGCACCAATGGATACAATCAGCATAAGTTGCAGGATCAGCTTGTTGCTCAGGTGTTAACATTTTGCCTTGGCGAATTGTGTAAACGGATGTGTGCCCATCTTTTCTGTACTCTGATAATGCTGTAATGTTCTGAAAATAAACTGGGATTTTCATTGACTCAGTCACATTTGCTGCTATCACAAACAGCCTTTTATCTGTTCCAACATCTAGTGGCATTGATGTGTTCAATATTGGTGTTGTCTCTTTAGCGCATTTTATTCCATCAGGATTTTCCCAATCTAAACTCCTGTTTCATCCATTTGTAAGCAAGAATTAGTATATATATATTTATGTTTGTCAGCCAAAATTTAAAAGCAAAAGGATAAGGGGAATTACTTTATATGAAGTGGAGACATGCTCATGAAGAAAACTTGGGTGCGATTTGGATTTATATTGTTATCAATCCATTGGGACCATGTTGTCAAAACTCTCCTATAAGCTATTGGTCTATCTATCTCGTCGTATTCCGTCGCTCCTTCGTCGAATGATCCTCGCCTATAAATATATATTTTTTACATTGTTAGTGCATGAATTAAACTCAATTGAATATTTTAGAGGAATAAAATGAAGGTGTTTACTTACAGGATTTTCATGGTGAAAGTGTTCATCCACCAAATGTAAGTGTTGAAGATGAGATAATCCACATTCTTCCAGTTGTTGCCATGTTTCTCAATTGATTCTGGCATTATGATTCTGTTCAAGATGCTATGCATATTTGGATCATCTGAGTTTGACTCCACCAGAAATGGGGCCCAGTAAAACTCCACCGTGGCATTATAATCCTGCATATATTCATATTATAAAACAGAAAAGTTTAATACACTAAAACTCAATTTTCCAGGTTAATGACAAACTACTTTCACCTATATTAGGTGACAGAAAAGGCTTTAAATAGACGATGAATCTCTGTCATTACGTTGTGGCGACCTGTCTACGTAATCAAAATTATTTATTAAGCAACAGTACATCATTAAATTGAGACACAGTCAAAACTACAGTAGTTCATGCTTAGTAGGATTAATTAATAAAGTACTCCGGATTAAGTCTTTAATTAATAAAGCACTAGCATTAAAGTTACATGAAAGTCTTTAATTGATAAAGTAGCATTAAAGTCTTATCATACTAATAGAAGCCAATACATAATCATTATGTTTGAGGAAAGTAATTATGAGATATCCATCTTTTGAAAAAATTAATAGATTTACCTCAATTCTGAAAATAGATAAAGAGCCAGTCTTGTTTAAGCTTTTTCGGCCAGAAGGAACAACGGATTGAACCAAACAAACCATAGATTCCCATTGATTTCTATTCAAAGAGTCTCCCACAAACATGAGTCTCTTATTGCTTAGCTTCTCAAGCAGCAATCTTGGTTTAAACCTGAAATTTCAATAATTAACATAAATGGTATTTAAAAAAATTGAAGAAAAGAATAGTAATTCAAGAAATTTCTTCTTACTTGGGTAAAGAACAGTCTCTGGGTTGCCACCTCCAATTCTGATACATAGAATCTTGCCTTCCATTTCTCAAGCAAGTAACTTGAGCAGTAAGGAATTCACATTCATGTTCTTTGTAAATTGGGTGTGTTACATTATCATAAACCCAATTCCCTACAAAAAGATCACAATCTTCAGGTGGCAATTCAATGTTCTCCTCCTCCTCTTCTTCTTCAGCTGGCATTTCAATTTTCTGCTCCTCTTGCTCTGTTTCCGTTTCAACTACAGTTCTTGAATTCATAACCACAGTTGAAACACTGCTTTCTTGAATCCCATTTTCTTGTTCAGTGATTTCTTGAGCTTTGGGTGTAGAAAATGGGAATTCAGCAATGGACTTTACGTCTTCATTGTACATGAAACAACCAAAGAGGAATATGGAGAAAACGACTACGAATATAGAGAGGTTATTATTCTTACGGCCACTGTGATGCTTCATGTTGAATAATTCAGAGGAAATGAGTGGCGTTTTCCGGCCGCGGAGTGAATGCATGAGAAAGAGTTTATGAAACACTGATGGGAAATGCAACTGCTCACAGTAAGAAATATAGAGAAGGGAAAGAGTGAAGCAAAGAGTACTAACATCTCGAACTTCTTTTTAATTTATTAAATTTTTTTTTTCTGTTAAGAAATATTTGATTTGGTGAAATGGGGTTTTCTGAAAGATATTGATTGTGGCTAGAGGGTTGTTGTTGTCATTCTCAGATTTAGGTGTATTTGTTTGAAACTGCTGTGCTACTTCTTCTGCTCCAGCAAACGAACAACTACCTTTGTTAGATGTGTGAGAGGGATTGGGGGAAGAGGAGTGATCTCAAAGCGTTATATTGATCTGATAATTTAATCTTTCTGACTCTTGTTTTATATACTGTTTTATAAGGACCCCACATTAAAAAAACAATTAAATATATTTTGACCACCAAAGTAAGATTTCTATAGATATATAACTTTTCTCTTATTGCAAATACTTTACACTTTCAATGCACATACATTAAAATCGAAAAAACAAAATTAAATTCTTCTTTTTCAATTTGGGAATTAATTGGATAAAAAAATTGATATTGGGAAACAGAAAATCAAAGATTTGTTACAAAATATTTAGTAAATGTGGATGTCCACTACTTCCAGTACTTTCACCCATGATGTAAATTACCTCCCACTACTCATCACCATTATGATTGTAACTCTCACACCTCCATTACTCCTCCCCATGATCTTCCCCCATGATCTCAATTGTTAATGTCATGTTTAAGACAATGATTTTGTAACCTTCATATGTAACAGTATAAATAGAGGCATGAAATGTGAGATGGAATACACTTGAACACTTGATGNATATATATATATATATATATATAAAAGCAAAAAAAGACCATTTTCAATGGGTGTGGTTAAAATTCATTGAAAACATATAGATTAGTCAATATACAAATTTTGAGGAAGATTTGGCGTGATTTGGTATCAAAATTCATAGTTAAAATCTAGTTCAAAAAATTCTTCTGCGACACATGTATCACGCATGTATCTCATACACAGGTATACAATGATATACATATGATACACATTAGATACAAATATGATACATATGTGATACATAAATGATATACAGTGTGATACACATATCATTTTTTTCCATGTTCATCTTCTACTTTGAATTTTCAATTCAAACCACCTCAAAACTCCACCAAATCATCCCAAAACTGAGATTCAAGCTCCTTAATATGTACCAAATCTATTATAATAATACACACTCAAAAAAAAGCAAATATTTGATTTTTTTGGCCACAAATAGCTAATTGGCTAATATTAAAAATATTTTATGCATTGGCCAATTTTTATAATAAACTACTTATAAATGGACATAATCGATAGTTTTCCAAATTTTTATGACATATAGATTTTAACTTGGGCTCGAACCCCTGACCGTGATTAAATGAATGATGCTTTTGAGTAGTTGGACTAGGAATTGTACGGCATACACTAGTGTCACTTTATATCTACACGTTTCTTATTTTGCATAATATATATTTTGTATAATTTTAGGACCAAGCTCTGTTTTAGCAGAAGCGAATCTAAAATTTAAGTTTTATGAGTTCAATATTTAAGGTTTTAACATTGAACTCATTTTATTTTTAAAATTATGGGTTTATATTGCTATATATTACAATATTAGTGAAGTTTTACACATAAGTTTATATTTCGCGTCAAAAATACTGGATTTAGTTGAATTTGGTGCCAACATATTGCATCCGCCCCGTGTTTTAGAATGGTGAAAGAACTCTCTCTCTCTCAAACTTTTCTTTTTGATGTTATTGAAGATGAGGGTGGCCCCATGAATAGTGTGGGGAAGGAATTAGCAAAAGAGGGGAGTTCTTTCGGCAGGATTAAAGTTCTTTGATCGGAAGGAGCATTTATACATACAAATAAAAACAGAGTGGAATAAAGTCAAACAAAAGTCATTTGTGTTACAAAATATTTAGTAAATGTGAATGTCCACTACTCCCACTATTTTCACCCATGATGTAAATTACCTCCCACTACTCATCACCATTATGATTGTAACTCTCACACCTCCATAACCCCTCCCCATGATCTTCCCCCATGATCTCAATTGTTAATGCCATGTTTAAGACAATGATTTTGTAACCTTCATATGTAACAGTATAAATAGAGGCATGAAATGTGAGATGGAATACACTTGAACACTTGATGAAATAAGAAAGTTATCTCTTCTTCTCTTATTTTACTTACTTCTTATTTTATATTGTTACTTTGAGCTACATTTTTTAACACGTTATCAGCACGAAGTTGAGCTCTTTTCATTGTTCAGGTATATTTGTTCATTTTTTTTTCGTTGTATATTTTGATTTCATGATTAGTGTCGTTAATATGCCGTTTTATAATTTCTCACATCTCTAGATATATGTAAAAAATAAAGAATTCTATGTTTCTTTATTTTAAGTTATTTGTATGATTGTCATGTGAAAGTTGCTAATTTTTATGTTAATAGAATTAATTGAGAGAATATATTTTGTTCTAGTTAACATCAAAGATATACTAATAATTTGAAGAAAAAAAATAGTATTCTTTTCTATGGAATTATCACTTTAGTGTATATATAGATCACAAATTTGATATTATGTCAATTTTTAAGATTCTTTATGCTATTATCCTAATGATTTCTAATTAGTTATCTTCTTTGATAGTTTTTACTATGTCGAATTTGTCAAAGCTTGAGTTTGTGGCACTTGACATTTCTGGAAAGAATTACCTATTATGGGTTCTCGATGCTGAGATTCACTTAGCCGCTAAAGGCCTTGGTAACACCATTACTCAGGGTAATGAGGCATCAAGCCAGGACAAAGCGAAGGCCATGATTTTCCTTCGTCATCATTTGGATGAAGGTTTGAAGGTTGAATATTTAACAGTGAAAGATCCACTTGAATTGTGGACTGGCCTGAAGGAAAGGTATGATCACCTTAAGGCTACGGTATTGCCAAGGGCTCGATATGAGTGGATGCACTTACGGTTGCAAGATTTTAAGACCGTAAGTGAGTATAACTCTGCTGTATTTCGAATAACTTCCCAATTGAAATTATGTGGGGAAGTTATGAATGATGAGGATTTGCTGGAAAAGACTCTTACGACTTTTCATGCCTCAAATATGGTATTACAGCAGCAATACCGTGAAAGGGGTTTTAAAAAGTATTCTGAATTGATCTCATGCCTTCTGGTGGCTGAGCAACATAATACCCTTTTGCTGAAAAATCATGAAGCCCGTCCCACAGGGTCAGCTCCGCTTCCTGAAGCGAATATGACAGCTAGACGTGATAAGTCTGGAAAAAGACAGAATAATAATCATGGCCATATGAATGTACGTGGGTGTGACAATGGTAAGAGATGATATAATAGTCGTCATCATGGTGGTCATGGCAAACGAGAGAACAATATGGGTTCTCAAAACAATCCTTCAAGAGGCAAAAGCGGTAACTGCCACCGCTGTGGCATGAAAGGTCATTGGAAAACTGAATGTCGTGCACCTGAGCATTTTGTCAGGCTTTATCAAAACTCCATCAAAAGAAAGACAAATAATGTTGGAGCATCTTCTGCTAATGCCCCAGTGGAGTCACACTTGACCTTTAAAAATGATTTTGAGGCAGGGCCTTCAAACAAAAATGATGACAATGCCGAGGCAAATCTTGCTTTGAATGATGATGATTTTCAAGGCCTCGATGATCTTACTCATTTGGAAGTTGAATTCTTCTTTGGAGATCAAAACTAAAGTTTGATCATTTTTACTGGGGAATGCAATTATGTTATTTTATTTTCTAGTGGTTTTTTTTTGTCTCGTTCTAAAAGTTGTTTTTATTTTTC